TATATATATATATATATATCTATATATATGTTTGTGTGTGTGCGCGCGCGCGCGTGCGCGTGTGACACAACTGTTGCTCATTGGTTGGCAGCGTTTGTAAGAACTAAGGGTCACGGGTTCGAGTCTTGCCTCGAATTAGTCAATGGGATTGGTTGGGGGGTCCGCCCAATCTTTATCTATATATACATACATACATACATACATACATACATATATGGATGAGTTTTTTTTTTTTTTTTCTTCCAGAAACCATTCAAACAGGATTCACCGTAGTAACAGAAAATAGGGAACCTACTGAATTTGAGGATAAAATATATATAATATACTATAAATGTAATAATCTTTTCATAGTAATCATCAGGTGAGTGATATAGCTTACGACAGCACTCTTATGTTGGTAGAAATATATCTTCGATGTTCAATTTGTCAAATGGCACATAGAAGTGTTTAATGGCGCCGATTTTGTATGTATGTCAACAAATTGATTCTCTGACCTTAGGAAACGAAACCAAATCACCACTTCATCAAGATTCTACTGATGAACAATGTTATGAGCTATTTTGATCACAACCTTACCATCACAATGCAATTTCGTTTTATTGTAATCTCCTAGGTTGAAGAAGCTACCCATGTGACCAATTTTGCTCTTATAAATGGAAGTACCTATATGTTGATTTTTATCAATATATATTCCCTCGCCCAACCGACATCGATATATTAGGTGATCATTCTTTGAGAACATATGCCCTCTACCTGAAGGCAACTATAACAAAATATTTGAAACACCACATCCATGTGATCTTCGCTAGGGTAATGCATAAACTTACTAACGGTATTGATAACATATGAGATGTATGGGCAAGTATGGAGTAGGTAAATCAATTTACCTGCTAGTTGTTGATAGCTTCAACGATGTACTTTCCAAACTCCTAATTATTTACCGTAAGAGTGTCGACCAGCTATCAATTGGGCATCCAAACTTCAGTCAGTATGAGTAATGCATTTTAATTCTATGAAAGGAAAATGCTTTATCTTAATCATTATTTTGGTGAGAGGTGATGAAGAAAAGCATTTTATATGCGAAATTGTTATGGTCAATATGTATTTGCTGCAAGGAATAATAAGACTTTGATATTGGTAAGTTTGTTACTCGAGAAAAAACCTCCGGATGGTCTACCTCAAAGATCTGCGTATGACTATCAGTTTTGTTTTGTATTGTGCAATGGATCCATATGCTGTATGCTTGATATAAAAATACCCAGTTACACCCAGTTACATTCAATTGTCAATTGTTTTTTTTTTTTTTTTTGCTTCCCTGGGTTAGTGGAACAAATCCTATATTTTTTCTCTGCAGTGCTTCGTTTTTGTCTTGAATTGCTTTAATTGACTTTGGATCTATGAAGGCTTTTATGAACTCCATTAGTGATATCTCATGAAGGCAGTTTTTATACAATATCTTTTGGAGGGTAAGACAATCTTTGAGTTACATGATTTGAGATAGGACGTTTTGATTGTTTCTCTCTTGAAAAATAATTGATAACCATTAGCTCCTTCCACACTAGGACTAAAAGGTGATATTGGATAAGTTAACTTTCTTATATACTCGGGTGGATGAGATAGAGGAGCCTACTTATTTGGTTAGCACGTTTTATGTTGCAATCCCTTCAATACACACATCACTGTCTTCGAGTAAACTGGCATCTTCAACTTTTGTTGCTTTAGCTTGCTCTTCACTTGAACCTGTTTGTTTTTTTATGGCCGCAAAAGCTTTCTCACTCAAGCACTCTCCCTACTTGTGCTCTTTATTTCAAATTTCATAATGGTTTCAAATGAAGGATAAAATTTTTGGGGCATTTACATACATACTAACTTTTAAACTTTACTTTTTTCACATTTACACTGAAATCTTTCATATTACATAAAAAAATATCATTATTTTAACTTTTAAAAATGAAATACACCTTTTCAAGCATAGGTATGGTGACATGTATGTAAAAATTGGAGTTTAGGTGTTTGGTATGTAAATACATAAGAATTAAGTGGTATGTAAATCTTCCAAATTTTTTTAATTGAAGTTGATAGGAAGGGTATACGATGACTCTTGGCTAATATGCGAGTTTAGCATTCTAAATTTACAACAGTTTAAACCTAAAAATTGTTTCAAAATAAGTGCTTCATATTGAGAAATAATGGATGTCCTAAACAATAATGCCAAAGCCAAAATGTATCCTTTTTCACTCGACAACAAATGATTTGTATCATTTGCTCCGTTCATGCGGAGTCATCCTTCTAGCATGACCCCCCTCCATCTTAATGCTATGCCCGGTGATCTCCTTGAGAATATCCTAAAAAGCCCAAATTTGGATATATCAGTGCCAAAATAATTTAATTCACTGGTTAACTTAGCGCACATATATTGAGGATGAAAACTCCATTGTTTCAACCCCTGTAACTGGATAACATTTACCCTGTTAGCTTTGCTTATACTTGATAATCTCAATACTACAATTCTGACAAAATCGTCTATGCAAAATGTCGAGTGATATGTTGCTTGCTATCCAATTATCTTACCACTATTGTTGTGCTTGTTAGTTGTACGAGTAACAACCCAAACTCTCATTCATCGAGATATTATCCGTTTTGGCATAATAGTTATATGATTTTGTCCGTGTCCTAGGAGGTCACCCATCCGAGCACTGCGCCTGCATGAGTACTCATGGGTTTTGGAGTTCTTGATAAAATTCCAACGGTTACACCAAAAAAGCCAGATACCGAAAGTAGGTAGGAACTCAGCAGAAACACAAAGCGAAGTTTTATTAATATAGAAGTAGGGCTACAATGCAACACAAGTGAAAAGAACAATATAATGAAACTAAGCTTTAGCTAAGGTCGGAGGAGAGGACCTGGAGCAGTGGTGGTGTAGCTAAATTGTCCGTGGATGGGGAAGGGCTGAAGGCAGCGTGGTAGGTTAGGAAGGTGATTTGGAAGGAGGGACGGTGGCTGATTTGATGACTAGAGGAGTGGGGCAACAGGGACAGTGGTGGGAAAGGCAAGGGAAGGTGTTGGGTGCTATTGGGGGTGTCCAGGATAGCAAGGAGGGCTGCCTAGTGTGACCGACGAGATGCAAGTTGGTGGCAGAAGGGCTGGACAACAAGGTCCGGCGGTTGGGGAGGGGAGGACAGGGTGTTGATAGGTGGATAAGAGGGCTGGGAGTGGGCGGCAACGCAGGGAGGATGTGTTGAGGGTGGCCGGCAACTTGGGAGAAGGGAACAAGAATATTGGAGAAGGCGATTGAGGAAGATACAACACCACGTCGGAGTAGGGTATAATCGGAGCACCACCACCTCAGGAAAATAGTTCCACACAGAAATTTGAAACATAAACACAAAACACAACCCTAAACAAGAGAAAAACAGCATATTTATATTGACTAGTAGATAAAATAGGAGGGGAAGACCCTCCCCTTTGGTGGCAAACAGGAAAGGTAAGGGGAGTCTCGGCAGCTTTGGGAAGAAGTCGGTGGAGTGAACAGCTGAGGCTAGTTTTCTCGCCTTTTAATGTGATTAGTCGGTCCACCAGGCCTTTGTCTGAGCCGGTTCAACCAACCCTTGCCTAGGTCGGTTCAGCTGGCCCCTTGCCAGCACTCGTGTCAAAGCTCCTCCATTTTTAAGAGAGAGAGTTTCATTCTAATCGGGTTTGGCAAGATATCATTTTATTTGAAACTGTGAGTGTTAAAAGAGTATTAGATGTATATATTGAGGTTGAAAGCTGCTTTGTTCCAACCCAAGCTTGAAATATGCATTATTCCAACCCCTGTAGCTCGATACATAACCCTTTTTTTAATGCATATACTTATATTGATAAAACATGGTGTGATGGGTTGCGTTCAAGTCAATTGTCCAGCCACTATTATCATCAGTTAAGAGTGGCATATGCATTCATCTTCAAAGAATTATAATTAGCATTCACAATAGCAATCCATCTTGATACATGCACCAGCCATTTCTTTCCTTCTCTTTGTCTTGAGTTCAGTTAACCATTTCAATATTCGTGCATCTTAATGCAAGTCTCTCGAGTATGCATCATATTCCTGCAACGAGGGTGATCACTTCCTCCACCTTATCTATTGTTGAAGCTTTCAATTTTCCCTTAATTTGATGATGAAATTTCCAACTAATATGCTAGCTAGACAATTGAGCACCTCAACCATTATTTCATGAGATCAAATAAGGAATTCTGTTTGACCTTTAAATATATTCGTTGTCCTTATAAACTACATGTAAATTATATGCAACTGCTGATGATTATTAAACTTTATAGATTATTAATATTTATAATAAATAAATAAATAGATCAAAGGAAATAGTTGAAGGCTAGCTAACCCTTTATTTTTAACCAATTCTCACTGGTATTATAAGGTTTAGTATGTTTGGCATTATTCATGGAAAGATTTACATACATACCACTCAATTCCTATGTATTTGCATATCAACACCTAAACTTCAATTTTTACATGGATACTAGCATTTCTTTTTTTAAAAAAATTAAAAGATTTGAATGATATAAATATAAAAATGAGAGTTTAATTGTTAAGAAATATATATATGAATACATAAGAATTAGGTGGTATGCATGTAAATGTCCCTAATTTATTTTACAGCCTTCTTAAACGAGCTTATTACACTTCTATGTGCTACAAATATTTCCTTTTCAGACAAGAATTAGCGCGCAGATTTTTTCATAAACCGATATGGTAAAGTGTAACAATTTTGGGAACACATGTATTTGGAAAAGAGACCTATTTCACTCACGACAATTTTTTAAAAACTCTAGTTTTCAAACAAGCTTCCAAAGCGGCTCTAATGAACTAGAACTTCCAACTATAAGTTAATATCCAAACATCAATAATGTCAAATTTGCAGTGAATAACATGAATAGTAATCCGAAGCGACAATGAAGAGAAAGTCACCCCCTGCTTCTTCTTTCGCCGGACCTTTTCCACGTCGTCCTTCCCTGGATCTTCCATTTAGCAACTCCACCGGGTCGCCGACTCTCATTTATTTCTTCAACTTTTCGCTTCCTGTTACATAATAGTGCAGAAATTTATCAGGAAACGAGTTTTACATATATGATAACTATTATAACTTTCACTATATTAATTCAAACATTTTCATGTTTATATATATATAACACTTGAATTGTTAATATCGTATAAAAAAATCACTATTATTAATTTTTTTTTATAAACAACAAATAATTTTTTTCTGGTAAATTTATCACCCTGAAATGTTATAAATAAAAAAATATGAGTATTTAGGCGTTAGATATGGAAATTGATGAGAATTGTGTTGTATGTATGTATGTAAATCTCATAAAAAAATTGTTGCATACCTGTATGCACGGAAGGTGCCATCAGAGAGTAGTTCATCGGCCAATGTAGATTTCCTCTCTTTCTTTGTCAGCCTGCCTGAGAAGAACTCAGATGCTGGTTCCACCACTGTTCCAACCTGTACATTCACAACCAAAATTAATTATATATATATAATTGAACGACAGTAATTTACTCGAATAGTCTCAAGTGGTGTTCTTATTCATCAAAGGACGTGGGAAGTTCGGTCATCTCACAGGTATGATTAATGAGCCTCCAAAGATTGACCTGACATATGAAGCTTAGAAAGTGGAGCTTCATATTCATGTCATGGATGATCAAATCCATGGAGACTTCAATTAGTCGTTCGTACATGTCCTCCCTTCAGCTAGTGTCCTTTGGACAGTTGTCCGTGATATCTACTTAGATGTAGGAAACTCCAAACAACTCTATGAGGTATCTAAGAAAATCCGGGAGACAAAACAGGGGGGGAAGGACAATGACGCAATACTATAATGACATAATTCCATTATGGTTGGAATGCGACTTATACTACGACTACACTCGGGAATCTCCGACTAACTTATCCCTCTTCCAAAAAAATTGTAAAAACTAATCGCATGTTTCAATTCCTTGCTGACCTTAACAAAGAACCTGATGAAGTCCGGTTCGGGATCCCCTTCCTTCTGCTCTAGCTACTTTTAGTGAGATTCATCGGGAAGAAAGTAAAAGACTTGTCATGCTTCACACTTCTACTATTGCAGCTATGTCGCCAACCTTGATCTCAAATAGTGCTCAGCCTTGTCATGCTCCTCTGCCAATCAGGTCTTCTCCAATTTAGGTCCCAAAATTTTTAGATGCACTGTCTTTGTTCGGAACACTGCCCCTACTCGGAGTACATTTACTCTCAAATCCATAAAATGTATCTTCCTTAGACACTCCGCAACTCAAAATAAGTGTAGATGTCTTGATCTGACCACAAACAAAATCTATGTGAGTGCTGATGTCTCCTTTGAAATGTTCCCTATTTTTCTAGCTCGATCGCTAACGAGGGGGAGGTTGAGTTCCCCAAAACTGTCCCTTATCCTGCTCCAATGGATGGTTTTCTCATTGTTCCCACCATTGAGGAGCCCTCTATCCCATTGAATGCACCACCTCCTACTCCCACTATTTGTGTCTACGCTCGACGCACTTGTCCCAATGCTTCAACTCAAGAATCCGCTACCTCCTTACAGGACCTTGACTCCACTCCGGGGCCCCAAGCGACATCCTCAGCATAACCTCTCCTCCGAATGAGGGGGTGAGTTCTTCGAGTAAGGTACGCAATCATATATATTCCCTCTATTCTATGACAAAATATGTTTTTTCACAGTTTATTACCGACCTACAAAACATTTGCTACTGCCCTGACAGGCAATCAGATCCCTGCTACTATTAAGGCTGCTCTTGTTAATCTAGCCTGAAAAACGACAGTAATGGAGAAGATGAATGCCCTTCAACGGAACCATACATGGGACGTCGTGAACTTTCCTCGTGATAAGAAAGTTGTTGGGTACCGATGGATTTTTAGCGCCAAGTCTAACTTTGACAAATCTTTTGAATGCAACAAAGCAAGATTGGTCGTCAAAAATACTCACAAACCTACGAAGTTGACTATGATGAGGCATTTGCTCCGGTGGCTAAGTTAAACACTATTCAGGTTCTGTTGTCGCTTGCAGTGAATGTGGAATGTCATTTATTCCAACTAGATGTCAAGAATACATTCTTGAATGATGAACTGACAGAAGAGGTATACATGTCTCTCTTCGGGTTTTGATTCTACTGCCTCCAAAGAACAAGTGTGCTAGCTACGAAAGTCCCTTTATGGGCTAAAACTGTCCGCAAGGGTCTGGTTTGGCAAGTTCATAAAATAGTCATGGGTCATGGTTTTACTCAGGCTCAATCCGATCACATCCTCTTCTTCTGACACTCCTCCAATGACCAAGTAGCTATCCTTATTGTCTATGTTGAGAATATTGTTCTTACAGGTAACGATCTCCCTTGGAGTTCTTAAAAGACATTCTTGCTTTGTCCTTCGAGATGAAAGATTTAGGATTTCTCCGATACTTAAGCATGGAAGTGGCTCGATCCTATCGGGGAATTTACTTATCTTAACGCAGATATGCGATTGATCTCCTAATAGATAACAATTTTCTTATGTGCAAACCTGTTATTATTCATATTAATCCCAATGAAAAATTATCTGACATTCCCAATGTTGTACCTTTCAACAACTCATTACTAGCGTCTTGTGGGAAAACTCATCTATGTGGCTCATGTTCGCCTTGACATATGCCACACAATTAGAATAATGAGTCAATTCATGCATGACCTTTACGAGCATCATCTCCAAGTTGTCCATCAGATTCTTCATTACTTAAAAGGTACATCGGGCCCAGGTTTATTCTTTTCCCACCAGACCTCTCGTTCTATCGTTGTTTATACAGATGTTGGTTGAGAATGGATCTCTTCATTATCAGCGTTTCATATCGGGGTATTGCTCATTTGTATGGAGCAATTTTGTCAAGTAGAAAAGCAAAAAATAGTTTATAACTGCCCAAAGCAGTGCTGATGCTGAATTTCGATCCATGTCCTTAGGAATCTGTGAACCTCTCTAGTTATACATCATGCTCCGTGAACTCTGAATGTCAACATCTGTCCCGCTACAGCTATTTTGTGATAATAAGACCGACATAAGCATTGCTCACAACCCAATCCAATAAGAACGCACCAACATGTAGAGATCGACATACACTTCATTAAGAAAAAATAAAGTCTGGAGAGATTTGCATTCCATATGTGTCATCCAGTGATTAACTAGCGGGCATCCTCACCAAGAATCTGTCTTGTTTAAGTTGAACATGACTAACATCTATGCTTCACCTTGAGAAGGAGTATCAGATTATAACGGCTATCCCTACGCCATTATTACTTAGTATTTAATTTTATTTCTTGATTATATATTTTCTCTTTTGCTTTATTATATTTTATTTTCTTTTCTTGTTATTTTATTTTGTTTTTATTGTTTTCCATTATTATGTCTATTGTAATTGAGTTTAAATACCTCTCCTCATATCAATAAAATTGTGTTGGTTTGTTCCAAATCTCAAAAATATAATTAAAGGGAAATATTAAGGGGAATGAAGACATTACCATTGAAGAAAAAATGAAATGAAGAGTGAAGTGTAAAAATAGTCCATTACATGGGACATCATTTTAGTCCCAGTCCTAAAGTCTATAAAATTTTCAAATTAGTCCTCAAACTCTTTGAATTAGCGCTGAAATAATCTTCAAACATTTTAAATTTTAGCCCATATAAAAAGAGTTTGCGACTAAATTGACACATTATAGACTATGGGACCAAAATAAGCATGTGCAAAGAGCCAAAGAGATAGGATGGCACTTACCTGGAAATACTTCGGTGGCGCTTTGGACTTATCCCCCTTCTTGAAATGCCTTTTAGGATCAATAAAACTCCTCAACTGCACCATAGCAGCAATTTAGTTGTCGGAGCCAACAAAAATATCATGAAACACGAGAAATTTTTGTCGTTGATCTCTTAATGTCATCACCAGAGGTTTGCTCATAGTTTAGCTTCACAACAGATTACTGCCATATTTTTGCTCTGCTATAAATTTCTATATTATATATATGCTAAAAATTTATGTTGAAGGAAGAAACTTTTCACAACAGCTTTTAAAAATTTAATTTAGAGACAGCAGTTATACAACTAATTTTACAATTAACTAGCCATCCCAAATGAACCGCAAAAGTGCAAGCTACAAATTCCCACAAGAATCAAGAAACACGTGAAAAATCAAATGAAAAGAAAAAGATTCCCCACTCCCAAGGTATTTCAGCAATTTTTTTCATAGCAAAGGTTAATGTAATCAATGCCAATAAGCATAACATAAATACCAAATATACACAAAATAATAAAAACATAGAGAGAAATAAAAAGGTTGGAAGGTCATATCTCTCTCTCTCTCTCTCTCTCTATATATATATATATGGTATGAATGTTAGTCTCCAACTTGTCACTAGGGCTCTAAATGAACTAATGCACTCGATGAACAACTTGAACTTAACTCGATTAAGGCTCGATCATGTTCGTTCAAATTAGCAAATAAACAAATTTGAATAATTTTTAAAAGCTCGAAGCTTAAACGAACTAAACATGATTAGTCGAACTTGTTTAGTTATGTTCATGAACAAACTCGTTTGTTATTCAACAAGTAACTTGTTAAATACTTGATATTAAGCTCGATAATCACTCATATTATATATATGATATATTAGTTAAATAAAATTTAATGTTAGAATTTATTTCATTATAAATTTAATAGTACATTATTATTATATAAATAATACTTTTAGTTTCATTATTAAGTATATATGTACTATATTAATAAATGAATGGTGATTTATAATGAGATATTTGTAGTTAAAGAGTGTCATAAAAAATTTTTTTAGAGCTTTTATAACTTAAATATATTGAGTTCTTTTTTTAAGACCATCACACTACAGTTACCAACATTAATATGGATTGCCTTATTGCTATTATTTTCTTATTAATATAATAAGTAAATGATCATCCTTAACTTTTAAGATCAATTTAGTTCTTCCACTTACCAAATTGAAACTAGTGTGGCCCTATCAATAAGAATTACGTAGCAAATTAATAAAGTTCAAGAATTTTAGAGTTCATAACCAACAAATTTGTAGTTGCGATTAGAATCGCAAAATTATTTATTAAATTTTTATATAAAAATATAGATTCTCGTTTGAATTTTTAACTCATTTCTTAGCTCGTTTAAATACTCGTTCACTTTTCATAGATGGATGAAGTAGAAATCAAGTTCAAACATTGAAAAAATTAAAAATATCAAGCATGAACAACGTATGAAAGCTCTACACAAGCTCAAGTCAACCATGAACAACTTATAATTATACCAAGCCAAGTCTAGACAATGATATACTCGAATCGGCTCGATTCCAACCCTACTTGTCACAAACTAGACGTCCATTTAAATGCAAGGTAAGCTATCATCTTATCTGCAGTTCAAACTTTTAGGCTTACTCTTGGTCAAATTTGTATAGCTAACCGAGCAGTCTACCCTCTGATTTCTACCATCAACCATTTTTCAACTCAAGCAATAAAATATTTAGCAATAACATTCATGAACACCAACTCTTGATTCTATGAGGATCAGTCGCAAAAAATTAAAAAAACAAAACAGCAGGAAATTGACCACATATCCATGTGATAGGGAATGGATTCATTTTTAGGTCAAATTAAGAAAATAAGAAATAAATAAATAAAATTTTGCTAGCAGTCAAATATCATATACTCGTAAACTAGTGTTAGTTAAACATTATTAGATGCTTTAACTAGGGAATTTTTCTGATATGAAATGAAGAAATGAAGAACCAATGAAGCAGCTCCACCTTTACAACAACTTCCTGAGAATCCAATCAAGGAGCACTAGATCTTTGGTAAATTAAATTTAACATAATTATCAAAACTGAAAGAGAACCAATACGCTCAACAAGCAACTAGCAGCCGGGCTCATTCATGCTTGTTTAAGTTATTAATCGAACAAACTTCAACACTTTCATAATACTCAATTAACAAATGAACAAATTTGAACAGCTTAATATTCGACTTGTTTATGATCATAAATAATATCATCTAAAGCTCATAAACAATCTTATTGAAAAACTAGATTTAGACTTGATAATGAGTACATTAAATATTCAAATACAAATTTATTTAATATGTGATTATATGCCTATATTTTTTTCTCATAAACACAAACAATTTATTTATTATTACATCTATTTAGTAGTTCATTCAATTCAAAACCTCATTTTCAAGCTCAATAGGTTATTAAGAAGTAAGATTTGTTCAAATAACAAACTGCTCAACAGTGTTGCTCATTAAAAAGCCTGATCTTGTTCATGCGCCAGTTTATCATTTATACTTTAAATAAATAATTATAAACATTAGCTTCACGAATGAAAGATAATGCTTTAGTGATCTTCACAAGAAAATTATGCGTTATTTATATACATGTAATGATTTTCTTTCTCCTCGGATCTTAAAAATGTATATTTAGGGTAAATTTTCAATTATCATATGAATTAATATAAACCTCACACAAGTTTGTGCAACATTTTAATGCATTTGTGACTATATTACCTGCTGTTGAAATGTAACTGAATGTGCTATATAAATCGTCTTTACTATGCCATGGTATCAATCGGGTCAAGTTTGACCCACAGCCCTCCTTCAGAATTCGACCAATAGTTAAATTAGCACGACATTGTCTAGTGTTGGACCAATGTCAGAGCCAGTAAGCATGTTTTTTATAAGTTTTCAACTAACAGTGGATATATTGGGTTAGAGCCAACCCAACTTGAAATGGGTATGATTACCCTATTTAAACACAAAAACAAAAAATAATAATATTTTCTATTTTAATGAATCAATATTTCAAAGTGATGGTGATATAGATGGAGATGTTATTAGTATAATTCAAGTTGGTTGGTTGAAGTGGAGGAATGCAACTGGCCTATTGTGAGATAGAAAAGTACCTCTTAGACTTGAAGGAAAATTTTATAAGATGTAGGCGAGACATGCAATGCTTGATGGGGAATATTGTTGGCCTTTGAAAGAGAAGCATAAAACTAAGTGTTGCAAAAACGGGAATGCATAGGTGGATGAGTGGCTTGACACTTGAGAGACAAAATGCAAAATCATTAGAAAGAGTCGTCTAATATGGTTTGGTCACATTTAACGTTGACTAGCTAATGATCCAGTTAGGAGAGTGTAGATGTTTTAGATTTAACTTATGTTAAGGAAGGCAGAGGTAGACCTGAAAAGACTTAGGCATAGTTTATAAAAAATGATCGACATTTATTAGAATTAAATGAAAATATGACACTAAAGAGGATACAATGGAGAAAAAGGATTCAGCCGACCCCACTTAGTGAGATAAAGGCTTGTTGTTGCTGTTGTATTATTTCAAATTGACTCAAATCCGCCCTGCTCACACTAGTTAAGTTAAACTCAAAATTTTCAATTCATATTGATATGAGAGGTCTGCTATTAACATCATTACAAGATTTTTGCAGAATGATTTGAATAAACCTTCACTGACATCTTTGAAAATATTGCAAATTCTGGAAATATTACTGTTGGCAACTCTTAGGTTATTTGGATTGTTTCACTAAATCGAGTTGCTATACTAATTCCATCAGCCTCTTTCTGATTGAGGAGGTTTACAAGGTATGGTTATTTTAGGATGACCAGCGAGATTGGAAAGCTGTTTCCAGGAAACGTTAACATTGAAGTAATATCATTGATGCAGATGTCACTAAACCTTCAAGCATTATTATTATTATGAGCATTTACATACATACCACCCAATACTTATTTATTAAAATATCTAACTAAACTTTACTTTTTTACATTTAAACAACCCAACTCCTTCATATCACATAAAAATACCACCATTATAACTTTTAAAAAGTGAAATACAACTTTTTAAGAAATAGGTAAGATGGCATGCAAGTAAAAATTGAAGTATAGGTGTTAGATATGAAAATACATAAGAATTGAGTGATACGGAATACTATGGATGTAAATCTTCCTACTATTTATGGTTGAAGCTGTTCATATGTATACTATAAGTGTCACATAATATAAAGGAAGAATGGAGAATCAACTTCTTTCACATGATAGTCTTTTTATCATTTTAAAAGGATGGAGGCAAGCTTTTCACAATCTCATTTTGCCCTATTTGGTCAATCATAGAATAGTCAATTGGTTGATCAAAATCAATTCACTAATGATATCATGTCCTAAGAAATTTTAAGATGATTTGATCACTTATAAAGCACAATAAAGCACCATAAAAAAGACTACAGAAAATAAGATAAATGATTCATAAATTTAACGATTTAGAAGTACTCGAAACAAGTAATTGTTTAGTATATAGAAAAGACGTTTAGAGTAATTTTAATAAATTTAATTTAGAAAAATTATGTTATGATAGTAATTTCAGTGTGCTGGTATTATAATTCGCCTATATATTAATCAAACTTGTAACAGCCAAATGTTGATAAAAATATAACAAATTAAATCACTAAGTAGTTCATAGATGGTAGATTTCTCTAGATCAACATCAACAATCTTAAATTTGTGTTTCAAGGTAATGAAATAACATCAACATGTTATTGTAAATATGTATTCAAGGTCATATCATGAGTTTATTGAAAAAAATTTTATGTTGAGCGTCGACTACCTAACAAAACCCTCCATTTTTTTGCATCCGAGGCTTAGGACCCAACAATTACAGTGTTTAAATTTGCGTTCAAGATAATGAAATAAAAAACACTTGCGAGGACAATGACTTCTTCAGCATAAAATGATAGTAAACTACCCCATGTAGAAAAAAAGATAAATTAGAATCTTGTTACAGAGTTTATAAACTTTTTTTTTTTTCACGTGCCTTTATTTAGTCTTATTTTTTATTCTACAAAATTCATGTAGCAATTTCAGCTTCAATACAAAAAGTAGTATGACGTCAAAGTTCAGGAAAGTTTAATATGATTAATCATTCATCAAACACTAAAAACAAATTAACAAACAAAGGATAGCGAAATATGATTCATTAATTTCATGGCACAAGACAAATAAAATTATATAAAATTTATTTAGTATGTATCAAAAGTCATTCAGAAATATTTTAATACGTAGTACTCTAAGTATGTTGGATTATGAGCATATTGTCACGCTCCACCACATACGAGAAATTGGCAAGGAAACCATGGGATGGAAGATTTTAGAGAAGGCTAGAAGGTAGAGAGCCGTCCAAGGGGTTCTAGAAGATTCCACCCAATTCTAGAGAATAAGAGAAGGAAAAGCTCCATGGAGAAATTAAGAATAACCTAGAATGTTCTAGGGCTATGTGTATAATAAGAAAGGAATGTAGAACTCTCTAGAAACTAGAAATAATTTAATGTATTCTAGAATGTTCCATTAGGCTTGGAGGATGCTATAAATAGGAGCCCCTCCCCTCATTTGTAATCACCTAAGCATTGAATCAAAGCTTTCAAGTATTCAAGTGTGAAATGTTTCTTTCTCTCTACTATTCTTCCTAATAGTGCTTGGTGCTCATAAGTCCAAGCGTTGTGAGGATTAGGCTGATTTAGTGCCAAAAGAGAGCGCTAAAACCTCACGGGTGACTTGGGGAAAGTTAGTCAGTGACAGTTGGTATCAGACCTTGGGTTCGAAGGAATGGTAAAGAGTGTCAAAGAGCAGGTGATGGAGTCGGAAGCCACTAATGTGGAGACATCTCAAGGGCGAGGTCGCCAAGAGCAAAGAGATCCCATTATACCCAAGCCACATGGGAGGTCCAAGGAGATCATGCATGGCTTTGATTTGCGTCTTGCTTGGATGGAGGAGGCAATAAATGACATGGAGGGCCAAGTAGAGGATCTTGGCCAAAGGATTGATGGACTCGAGAAAGAGGACATCACCATCCATTCAATGATCAGAGGTATGATGCTCCAACTTGAGAAAACCTTAATGGGTCATATGACTAGGTTGCAGGAAGATTTGTTGGGGAAGCTCCAAGAGGTGCGAAGAGCCTATGAGGAGGAGATGAGGAACATGCGTGCTAGCTTGGAGAAGATGAGTGAAGACATTTAGTTGTGCAAGAGGACACTAGCGGCATCCACAAATCATCCCACTTTCGAAGCCAAGAGGATTGAAGTTCCAAAACCTATGAATTTTGGAGGGGTTCGCAATGCGAAGGAAGTAGACAACTTCATATGGGAACTAGAGCAATACTTTAGAGCGATGGAAAAATACAATTTGTCTCTCTTTATCTCTCGGACATCGTTATGCTTTGGTGGAGAAGAAGAAAAGAAGATGTAGAGAAAGGTTTGTGCTCCATGTCCACTTTCAATGACTTCAAGAGAGAGCTAAAGAGATCCCGATAAGGCCGAGGATGAGGCTCGAGCCCGGGCTTAAGCAAGAGGGTTTGATTCGAGATTATATTAAGGAGTTTACAAACTTGATTCTTGAAATCCCAGATATGTCAGACAAGGATGCTCTCTTTAACTTCATGAACTTCATGGATGGGATGGGCTCCAACATTGGGCAAAGACTGAGCTTAGGAGGCGAGGAGTGCAAGATCTTGCCACTGCCATTGCAGTTGCTGAAAGCTTAGTTGATTATTCAATGGAGTCTAGAAAGCCTAAAGATAAGAGGAGTTGTGATGTCAAAGGTGGGGATGACAAGGGCAAAAACAAGGAGAAGAAACGTCGCGAATCAACTCCAACAAAGGCAAGGGACAAGGGAAAGACCAACAATAAGCCATATAAAAACCGCCGCTTTCTTTGTAAAGGACCTCATTGGGCAAGGGATTCCCTCAGAAGAAGGCCATCAACTCTCTTCTTGCAAGTCATAAGGAGGAAAAAGGAAGTGATAGAGAAAATAGCATGGAGGCACATGTGGGATCTCTTCAACTGCCGAACGGGATGCAAGCTCTGAGAAAACCCCAAGGGAAGGGGTTACTCTTTGTGGAGATAACGATAGGAGGGAAGTCGACCAGACCACCAGGGGGAAGTCGACCAGGGCAATGGTGGATACGGGTGCTTCCCACAACTTCATCTCCAGCGAGGAAGCAAAAAGGTTGGGGTTGCGAATGACTAAAGGAGGGGGCTCCATCAAAGTCGTCAACTCAGGAGAGATGCCAATCGACGGAGTGGCTAAGGGAGTCAAGACCAACATTGATTAGGTACTTTAGACTTCTTTGTCATTCCTTTGGATGATTACAAAATTGTCCTAGGAATGAACTTCTTAGAGCAAGCAAGAGCATTCCCAATGACATTCGCCAAAAGCTTGTGCATCACAGAGGGAAGTCAAGCTTGCTCAGTACCGATAATAAGGTTAAGCAAGCAAGGATCCAAATCGCTATCGGCAATCCAGCTCAAGGATAGCATTGCACAAGAGGCAAGGGATAAGTCGTCGGCCAGTAAGACGTGCTGCATGACACCACTTTCCCATAACACCAAGGAGAAACCAAAGTTTGCCAAATTTGGGGGCAAACCGAAGAAGCAGTTTCAAAGGTGCAGGGGAAGCCACAATGAGGGCATTGCGAGTTTAAGTGGGGGAGAGTATCACGCTCCGCCACATACAAGAAATTGGCAAGACAACCATGGGATGGAAGATTCTAGAGAAGGCTAGAAGGTAGAGAGTCATCCAAGGGGTTCTAGAAGATTCCACTCAATTCTAGAGAATAAGAGAAGGAAAAGCTCCATGGAGAAATTAAGAATAACCTAGAATGTTCTAAGGGTATGTGTATAATAAGAGAGAAATGTAATACTCTCTAGAACCTAGAATAATTTAATATATTCTAGAATGTTCCATTAGGCTTGGAGGGGGCAATAAATCGGAGTCCCTCCCTCATTTGTAATAATCCAAACATTGAATCAAAGCTTTCAAGTATTCAAGTGTGAAGTGTTTCTTTCTCTCTACTCTTCTTCCTAAGAGAGTTTGGGGCTCATAAGTCCAAGTGTTGTGAGGATTAGGTTGTGCCAAAAGAGAGCGCTAAAGCCGCACGGGTGACCTGGAAAAGTTAGTCCGTGACAATATGCTTTTATTAAGGTCGATCAATACTCAAACTTTCACACAAAGATATCAAACTAGAACAGTCTTCAACATAAAAGTCTTTCTTATATTTGAAGGAGCTACCATAGAAAACTAAATGATCGGAGAACAGATTTCTTCCACATAGGATAATTACATACACAACACCCAAAAACATTATGTGTGTGCGTGTGCACGCATATATGGAACAAAATTAACAAAAATAGTACTTGAAAAGTATGCATAGTAAAATGAAAGAAACATACCTTCAGAATTTCAAGGTCCATTTTTAGCTCTGGGGTGACTACTGGAGCTGGCATATCAAACCTAAATTCACAACAATGCATCACAAAGCTTAGAAAACAAACGAAACCAGATTTGAATTACAAACAATGAATTAACATAAGAAAAACGTAAAGCAGAAATATATGTACATATAAATTTGTAGAACACATTGCATGTATCAATTCAACCTTAGAAGATGGATTTAAAGACAGTGAAAAATGGCAAATTTAAATCACTAACCAATTTTTTCCTGTCGTGTCTTTCATACTTTTCTTCAGCAACTTATTCAACTTTTTTGGCTCCCTTGGCGGCACATACAACCCATCAACAAGTTCACTGTCAGCCTTCCAGATAGAAGTTTCTGGTAAACTAAGTGAATGCACCGAGTTGCCCTTCTTTCCAGCAGAAAACATCGGCACTTTTGGAGCCCATGAGAGACCAATGGTAGCTTCTTTCTCTTGCATTCTGTATGGAGCCAAAAAAATTAATATTATAATTAAAAACAAGGAACAACAACAACGACAGCATATATCCTGTGTTAATCCTGTGCCTTTCTAATAAAGGGCATTTTCATACATACCACAATTTTTATTGATATACATATCTAACACCTAAACTTTCATATTTACAGGCATACCACTTAAATCTTTAACATCACATAAAAAATACCACCGTCACATAGGTACGCCAAGATGTTATAATAAGTGTAAACATCAAACTTTAGGTGTTGCAAAATGAAAACTAGCTCTCGGTTGTGGTAAGATAATAGCAATAACTTTCCTGCATCACAACAACCCGAGAGAGAGAGAGAGAGAACCATGAGAGGTTCACTTATTCTCATAGTTAACAGTAAAAATAAGAACAAATCTAGAGCTATTTTGATACATGGAATTACACAGAGACAGCACCACTGATAAATAATAACTAACTCGATTGAGCAAAAAAAGAGAAGAAAAGATGAGAAAGAAGAATAAAAGAAAGATTTTAAGTTTTGCCTTATTCAGAAAGAACAAGGAAATGAGCAAATTGACAAGTAATCCAAGTTATCCAAACAAAATTGCCCCTTGACATTTTCATTTTCATGTTTCTTTTTTGTTTGACTAAAACTATGAATCATTTGAAAATAGATTCTTGAATTTATCAAAAATTTTCTTAACACTTTATTTTTTAATCAAAATTTCTATTTATTAAATATGAAAAGTATAAATTTCATGGAGCGAGCATATTCGTGACACAAGACTAAAGATAAAAAGTCTCATTTTATGGCGATTAATAAATTGCGTAACTTCTGATGATTCACGAAAATGCTGCCTGCGAAGTAAACTTGATATAATAAAAAGAACATAAAGTTCCTACTTAGGATTGAGAGGAATGGAAAAGATAAAGAAAGAAAAGATGATCTGCCCCAATATTATAACCAAGTTGTTTCCCTCCACATCAAGGGTGGAGGAGAAAAGGTGCCATACCCAACATAAATAGAATTCAGATTTTTCGAAAACTTGATGCGAAGATGGGGTGATTGTTACAAATTTACAATTAAAAAATATAACATATTCACAATTGATATATAATTCATATCAACGAAACTAAGCCAAGGCAACTATAAATATTTATATCCACACAACTTATCCATGAAAGAAAATAAAGCATTGATTATTATACCACTCATCTAAGTGTTCATCATACACATTGAATGTGCATTAATTCATAAAACTTGAATTTCTATTGATTTCATAGCATATATATATTAACTAACAAAATCAATGTGGCTCTTTCTACCCTCAATGACTACGAAAATAATTCCTATCAAAAAATCAATACAACACAAGGCTCGGCACAAATGGATTGTCTATCGTTTCTTTCCTTTTCTAATTAATTGTAGCATCTTATTTAATTTTTATGCATTTGAATATCATGAAAAATAATCATATAATTATCGTTTTCATTAAGGTGTTTTCTCTTTTATTTAGATGACAACTTATATATTTGCTAGTATTTAAATTCAAGATAATCTAAAGAAACTCTCTCTCTAAATAGAGATGAACAGCCATGCATTTTTCTACCGTATTATGAATGAAGTTTAAAAGCTATCCCGCATAATCGCACCCTTATCAATTCCAAAACTCCCCTTCGATTTCTTCTCTCTCCAAATTCAAATCCATAAACCCTGTCTTAGAAATCTTAGCATATCAAAATCCTAAAACCTGCCTCAACCCTATTTTTTCTCTATGTATATTTTTCTCTCTATAAGGTTAATTCATGTCTTTCTTTAAGAGATTGACTTCAAGGAGAAAAAAAGCAATTTCAAAGCAAATTTGAAAGAAGAAGATGAAGCCTAAAATCTCTACAAAAAGTTCGCAATCAATTTGATATCAAAGCAACATCAATTAGGTATAGGAACGGCCATATTCCATCAATTTGAAAGTAAAAACAAAAAAGATTTCATTAAGGTAGTCTATCAAAGCCTACCACCACATCATCCTTGATCTGGGGAAACTCCCATGCACCCACCTCACAGAATAAAAAAATATATATTAAGTCAGAATAATACTCCCAACAACCTAGTAATCTCTCTCTGACCTCCCCTCAAGCCTTTCTATCCATAAAACCCTAAAAAATTACCCCACAAAAAAACAAACATAAAAGTTGAATTTTATCTATAAATTGCTAAGAACTTACAAATTCACTAGGATATGAATTATTGGTATCCACCAATGCTAATAAAACTTAATAATGCACAAACCTAATTAAATGGTGTTAAAATAAGAGGATATTCCATTTACCTAAAACTAATACTTTTAATGTTTTTAAGAAAAAGAAACTCATGTTAAAATTACATGACCATGTTAATGTGCTTCATAACAAATGTAACCAATCTGAATGTATGAAACTAGAAATTAATCATGTTAATTTATAGAAATAAAATATTAAAAAAAATAGAATTAATCATTAAAATATATTTGAACAATTCGTTTAAATGTGAGCAAAATAAATATGTATAAATAATGGATATTTACATACATACCACCAATTCTTATGTATTTACATATCTAACAACTAAACTTTACATTTTACATTTATACCACCCAACTCTTTCTTATCACATAAAAAATACCACCATTTAAAATGTGAAATACAGCTTTTCATGTATAGGTAAGGTGGCATACATGTAAAAATTTGAAGTTTAGGGGTTATGTATGTATATACATAGAAGTTAAGTGGTATGTATGTATGTATATACAGAAAGCTAGATAGATAGATGGTACGAATAAATTATGATGTGAAGCAACCAAAATATTATAAATCATTGTTTCTGACAAAACAACGTAAAAAATTAACCTAATTACATCCATTGAGATAGATTTATCTTTTATGGTAAACTAAATTGAGAAAAAAATTGCACAAATTTATAAATAAGACGCTCAATAGGACACAAAAGAGAAAAAGGATTCATGTACCCAACCCAACTTAGTGGGATAAAGGCTTATTGTTGTTGTTGTTGTAAACTAGATTGAGAAATTTTTTGAAAAAAGTTCTAATTTCTTGAGAACTTTAAAGCAAATATTTTTAGGTTAAACGAGTATTCTCTTATGCTGACATAACTTAACTAAGGAATACATATTAGCCAAGATTAAAAGAGTGTGACTATGGTGATATAACAAAAGTTCAATAAAAAATTGATCTGTATATTAAAATATGAAAGTATTATTAAAATGTTAATAAAAAATACTACTTGATGAGTTTTTAAAACTAAATTGATGATGAATCCTTGTTCCAAATCCAGAAGGCTTGATCTTCATCTTCTCCAAAACTAGCTTTGAAATGGTTTGTGTTCTTGAACTCAATCCAAAATGAAGAGGGGCAAATCAACATCAAAAAGAGAAGAAAGAGTTTTGAGACTTTGCAACTTTCGAAAGAAAGACTTTCGAGACTTTGCAACTTGAAAGAAAAGAATGAAAACAAGTGGGAGTCTTATATTGAAGAAATTATGATAAGAGAAATGGGAAAGATTATAAATGAAATAAGAGAAAAAAGTAATAGGTTTCTAAATGACAATAAAATGCATGCCTTATCACTATTTATAGAAATTAGCAAAATTTTATGTTAATTGCAAAAATTACAAAGAAAAAACAATTTTCCCATCATTTGATTTCATATGTTCAGCTAGAAAGGAAAATTCTATGTTAAATAAAAGTAAATAAGAAGATGATATGTAGAAGAGAAATAGATAATTAAGAAAACCAAAAACAGAGATAATATATAGATGAAAAATAAAGAGGTGGATTGTCCTTATTATTCATGCATTTCTTATTTTTCAAATATTTTCCTTGCATGTCCAAAAATAACCTATTCAAGTTAATAAAAAATTTTCAGTTGTAAAGTTGCTTGCTTTACACAAGATGTGCTCTCATTAATCATGTGGACATATGCTTTATGATTTTTAATTTAAAAACTCTCTTATTATTTTGCAATTTCATTTTTGCTAACAAGAAAAACCGTTTAAAATTTTTTTTTCTCTAATTAGTTACCGAGGCAAGTTAAAAAAGCATTATGTAATGAAATCTCATAATAAGCACAAATTATAAAATAAATATTGTGAGTCCCATCAATGCATTCATATATTTAGGCGTCATCACAAATAAGCTATGGAATTACTTCCTTGAAAGATAAACACATAAGGGTAATCGAGGAAAAACAAAATGTTCATTTCATGCTCCATTTTCCAAAAGCTAATAAAAATTACATATTTATGAAAGCTTGAAAAAAACATATGTATTGTGAAAGCTAAAGAAAAGAGTTCCTATACAGCATAATTTTCCATAGAAACAGAATCTATTGTTACAAACAATATCAAAATTGTAATAAATTAATATCAATACTATCACTAAAAGCCGTTTGGATTTTACCAATAAAGATTCTCAGTTCATTTTAATTTCATAAATAAATGTTGGACTGAACATGCTTGCATGACTATTTATGAGGTTTTACTTGGTCTCATAAATCCTATCAACATCATCCAAGAATAGTAAGAAAAATGTTCAGCATTGAAGACTTAAACATCAACCTATTAATTTGTATGCCCAGGGATGGATAACCCTTTCATCAAGTGTTCAAGGAATTATCCAAAGAGAGAAAATCCAATCAAAGGTTTCCAAAAAGGGAGTATTAAAATTATGGGGGTAAAGGTAGATATTCCAAATTTCAATAGTGCGTTGAATCTAGATGAATTTATAAATTGGCTGCACATGATTGAACATTTCTTCAAATCATAAAAAAGTACCAACTAATATGACTATAAATCTAATATCCATTAAACTAAAAGGGAGAGCTTCCATATTGAAGAAAATCTAAATAGAAACTGAGTTTGAGGTTACATGCGATAAAATTAAGGAGTTGTAGATAAGAAATTTGCCATCTCATTTAATTCATGATGTTTTCATCAGGCCCTACAATTTTCAATATAAGGGATTACTTACAGAAGAATATATTGTTTGATTTGACTAAAACTATCATTACTATGTGGAAAAAAAATAAAAAAACTAAAATGTGCTTGCCACCAAGATCAGTACAAAAATCATGCAAAACTAACAAAAAAAATTCAACAAAGTTCAAACCATGTTCCATCTCCAGATGTTCCATTTGATCTATCCCATGTTGTCAACAACAACGACGAAAGAACCTTAACTGATAAGACCCAAATTTTTAAATATTTTAGATGCATCTTAATGCATCAAATTACCTAATCATCAAGTTATTGAAATAACAAAAGAAGCCCAGCAAGAAAAAAAAAGGACAAAGAAAAGAAGTACTAGAACCTAAGGTGAGCACTAGATATATGCTCTCAACTGACCATCGCCTTCATGATTTGATCCTCGAAAAACATGCATCTTGTCAATCTCTAGATCTCCGCTCACTTCAATCACTGATGAGGTAACGACTCTCTCATTGCTCATCCGTTCCTTGCCAACTTGTCGCTCAACTTCACTGAAGCACTGCAATGACTCTCATCTATAGCCTTGTAAATTTGAACTTCACTTAGCTTAATTTTATATATTTGTGAAAATAGGACTTTTAGACTGAAAGAGTGAATCATAACGTTATGAACTTTGATTTCTTGGGTTTTATATTACTTTTTTTTTCTTACTATTGATCATTTTAATCTAATTTTTCCATTCATGAAATATTATTTCATCTTATATTTCTAATTATTAAATATTACTACAAAATACACTAAATAATGGAATTTACGTATGGTCTTGTGATATTTAAAATGCCTCACCTTACATCTTTGCATTTTAAAAAATTGAATGCAAGTCACAACTTGCTCAATGTTAGATACTCTATTTGAAGCAAAGAGGCCAAGAACATGGACAATTCAATGCAGGAAAAAGTACAAAATGAAGACATTGAATCAAACAGCATAATGGTGAACAATGACACGTGAATCACTCAAAAAATTCAAAGCCAATTTAACTACCACTACAAGTCCAAATGTGTTCGCACTCGCTGCTGTTCACTCTACCTATTGGTTATTTCAACATTCATAAACCCAAAATAAAACTAAAACTTTGCAAATAGATGAATCTTAGTCAGCGCAATCACTCGCTAATAACAAGGGCAAGCATGAAAAAACACAGGCTGAAGGATTTAGCCTAAATACTGCCAAACAGCAAAAAAGCCTACAGAATCTTTAGGGGTTTCTTGGTAGCCGGTTTTAATCTAAATCCTGCCAAAGCCACCGTAAATTCTGAGCTCCCGTAAATCGCAAAGTGGCACCGATTCGCGATAAATCCGAGATTCAGTAAATTCAGTGAATCGGCGGATTTAGTAAATCCAGGACGAGCGAAGAGCAAGAATGGCGCGAACAGACTTACCTTCCTCAGTAGTTTCTGGTAGGGAGCGGAGAGAAATAATGAGAAAGATGGGAGTTGCGACGGTCTCTGTAAGCCGCAGTCCCGTCGTTTCCTCTAGGCGATGGTTATGGGCGAAACCAGTCGGGGGCGTGCATCAGCGAGGGTTTTGGGAGAGATGGGAACTTTGGGCGAAATCGGGAGAGGGGGAGGATGTCGGGGAGGAAGGTTTGTTCTTTTAGTTTACTTTTAGTTTACTTTTATTTTAACTTAATTTTATCATTTTAATTAGTGCTGTCAATTTGGCTCGTTGTTCATGAACAGCTTGTGTTCGGCTCGTCAAGCAGCTCGTGTTCGGCTCGAACAAAATTTTAAGCTCGAAATGTAAACGAGCCGAACACGAACAACAATTTGTTCGCTCATGTTCGGCTCGAAAAAAAAATTATATAACATTTTATATAATAATATATTATATATATTTATGTCTAAGTTTAAATCATAACATCTCATGTGATAATGTAGTTAGTGTCTTCTTTTGTATATATTTGATCCAGGTTCGAATCTCATACTTTACATCTATTTTTCTCAATTTAGTTTAACGAGCTAATTTCAAGCCGAACACGAGCCGAACACGAACATGAATATTGAAATAAAGTCGAACACGAACACACTGTTCGCGAGCCGATTTCAAACACGAGCCGATACGAACGAGCCGAACACGAGCCAAGCCTGAGCTCGCTAAAGCTCGGCTCGTTTACAACCCTATTTTAATAGATTAATAATTAAAAAATAATCTATATATTATCAAATTAATTATAACTATATAAATTTATATGTTACTAACTTAATATGTAATTAATATTTTATATTTTAAATTGTTTAATAAAAGCTTAAATAAATTTTAAATTATATAATTAATAGTTGTATAATATTACATTATTAATTGATAAGTATTGAGTTTAAAAAATAACTATTAGTTTATATTAATTAATTATTCATTAATAGAAATGTTCCTTTTTTTAATATATTTTTTTAAATTTTATATTTATGTTTTGTTCTTCAATAAATCCTGATATATAAATTCTATTAAATCCTTTTAAGGGTGTGTTTAGCTATAACCAAGATTTACTTAAATATGATTTAATAAACTATGTAAGTTATTTGGAGCTTTATGTTGATTTAAACTTAAACCCAACTAAATCCTTCTCTAGTGTTTCATGACAAGAGAAGAGATAACTCACAGATCCTCACTAACATCTGTTAAATTCACATAATAATTAGATTTAATAAATCCAAGGTTCCATCAAAACAAATAAAATTATGTGTTTAGAAAATGACAGGATTTAACTTTTAATTTTTGTTGGTTTAATTTTTAACGTAATTCCTTTTTAAAATAGCGTATCAAAACCCCTTAAACTTGCAAACAGTTTCTCAGGATTTATAAGTTTTACTTATAACTTTTGGGATTTAACCACTTTAGGATTTACTAAATTAATAAAATCCGATTTCTCATCCCTCTTGCCTTAAATCTCAGATATATTCAACCAATGTGGGCATAAATTAAAGTTTCCTTGAATCTCAGATTTACAAAATTAACAATAACCGATGTTGTTTGGTAGCGGATTTGAGTAGGGGTGTAATTAGGTCAAGCCCACTCATGAGCCAACTCGAGCTTGGGGCAATAAGTGGTTTGTGAACTGAACTCGATAAGCTAACAAGCCAAGCTCAAGGTAGTCGACAAGTGACTTTACTGTAAAATGACCTGAAAATGCATATGACCAAACAGAAAAAATAATTCTTCTATATTTACTTTACATACAACTAAATAACTAACTATAAGCATGTTACATTGCAATTATAACACATTTTTTCTTTTTTACAGACAACCAAATAACCCCTTATTATAATGTATTATGAGACAGATATGTAAGTATATAAATAATAGATTGTGTCGGGTGTGTACGTAAATGTACAACAAATTTATATATATAAGAAAATAAATTCCCCAACTTACCCTAAACATATTGCTTGTAAGCACTTTTGAAAAAACTATATAGCCACTTGATCTCATTGAAATTAACTCTAGTTCTTATGATAAATTTTATAAAAATAGACTTTAGATATTCGTATATTTCAATATTTTGCAGTATGAAATCTTTTTGACAATATACCAAACCGTTAGAAAACAGTTAAAGTAGTATATTAAAACTTATGACAACACCACGGACAATGTCAGAGTACATGAGTGCAATATATATATATATATATTAAAAAGTATTATATAAATTTTAAATATTAAAAGATCTAAATTAATTTATTTATCTATTATTTACATTTATCATTTATGTATATATTTGTTCTTTTTTATTCGTAATAAAAGCTTAAAACAGTTTCAATTTTATTAAATTAAAATTAAAGTTTATTTATAATAATGATAATAGTAATACTAAATAATATTTAAATAATTTGAATTGTTATGTTATAATAAAATGTTCAACAAACTTTATGAGAAGTTAGATTATGATTCCTCCTGGGCATTTTCGGTTAGCAGGACTAGTTCAGTTCAGTTAGTTAGGCATTGCCGGTCGAATGAGCTAGTCTGACTGCTTACCCTTGTTCCCTCGTGAGGAACTCTTGTTGGCAAAACGATGTTGGACTATCAGGCAGAAGGTAAATCATTGTATTCAGATATGTAGCTCAATTCTCAACAAAAAAGACCTAAAGGAATGACTATAAGAAGATTTGCTGGGTTGTTAGTTTTTGTCTCTAATGAGGGGTCACGGGGGTGCTCGTGGGATGATTAATGATATTATGGAACAACATCTTTCCTCGAATTGGAACTACAAAAGACCAGGTATTGCCTTCGATTAGCTTGTAGTGGTTGGCTCGGATTTTTCTTTATCTCATTTCTAACTGAACGACTCAAATTCATATTCGAACAATTTTCTTGAGTTGGTCAGCTTTGACTTTACTAACTTTAGCTCAAATGACTGCAATAAATTGGATAATTGGGCATCTAGACCTTCTGTCGTTGGACCTTCATTTGTTGTACTCTCCTCCTTTGAATAGCTAGATCTCCTTGGGACCAAAACATTTATATATACGTGCATATTAACTCAAATATTTAACATCATATAAAAATACCACCATCACTAAATTACTAAAAGGATTAATTTTTAAAAGGAGCACCTTAATTTATATAATAAATAAGGATTATGAGCATGATTAAAAGAAATATTTAAGAAGCTTTTAATTTTGAAAATTCAAATTTATAAAACAATTGATTATTTAAACAATTTAATATAATTTCAGTAATTTCTAATTTTTTTTAAAAAAATTGAATAAAATTTTAATTATAACATCATTAAATAAATAATTTATTTAAAAAAATATTTTAAATATATTTCATTATCTAATACAACTTGCATTATTTTAAGTTCACTAGTATTTAAATAGTTTATTATGATATCATTAAATAAAATATCAAATATATCTTAAAAAATATTATCATATCATTAAATAAAAGGAAAATTTAGATATGTGCCATTTGGCGGCGAAGCTTGTAAGTTGTCGTCTGCCTTTGTCATCTTCCTCATCCGTATGACGAAGATCTCTCACGGAGGAGAAAATATTGCGCTTACAGAGTATGTACTTACAAAGATGAATAAAATTATGATGACGATCATCCCGTCCACCTCTATAAATACATATTTACTAATTATTGAATATTTTCTTTTCAAATGTAAATAATAAAATTTAGGCGTTGGATAGGTATATCCAGAGGCTTTCAATGGGATGCATTTTATTTATAATTTTAATTTTCAACTTAAAAGATATTATAATATAACTCAATACATCACAATTAGCTCCACATATTTATTTATTATTATTATTAATATTAGACTTGCCCGAGTGCCCAAATGGATTGAACCAAAATTTGATATTTAAAAAACAATATTAAAAGGTAGTGGATTCTACATGCAGCCCTCAGACCAGAAAACCACTTGGGCTCGTTCAACAAGTGGAGCAGACCAAATTAGAAAGTTTTTGGACATTACTGAGTTGCAGGAACTATATATATACGGACCACACATAACCCAATCCTCAAAACCAATCCAACCATGCAAACAATTCAAGTAATCTTAGAAGAATCCATCAAACCCTCCCTCCCAACTCCTCACATCTCCATTAAACTATCCTTGCTCGATCAAATCACTCCAGAAATGTACTCTCCAATACTCCTCTGCTACTCCACCACATCCACCACAGCTCTACAGGAACTTCCATGGAAGCTCAAGACTTCGCTCTCAAAAGTTTTGAATCAATTCTACCCATTTGCAGGAAGGATTGAGATAGCAGCCGTTGAGATAGCAGCCGGATGGCATTCTACAAGTTAACTGTAACAATGAAGGCGCAGTGTTCATAGAAGCCTCTTCTGAAACTGATCTCACCACCTTCCTGCTCTCCCCTCCCATCAACCGGTTCAAAGAACTCCTTCCGGTTAAAACTAGGATATTCAGACACAGCGAACCTATTCTTTTGCTGCAATTCACTAAGTTCTTAAACGGCTATGTGCTCGGATTTTCGATTTCGCATGTAATTGCTGATGCTGCTTCCATGGCTTTATTCCTAAACTGCTGGGCGGAGACGGCACGTGGGATTGAGGAAGATAGAATTGCCATGCCTTGCTTCACTTCAGCATCAACTCTCTTCCCACCCAAGCCTTTAACAATCGCCTACCAGGAACCGGAGGAGCCATTGGAAAACTCAGAACTAGTCGCAAAAAGGTTTGTTTTATCTTCTTCTTCCATAAAGAGGCTGAGAGAGAGTGCTTATAAACGCAGTGACCAGATGCGGCCAACTAGAGTTGAGGCTGTCACAACTCTTGTAATAAGGTCTGTAATGCGCTCAACTGCAAGTGAAGAAGTGGGAAAAGTGTTACTCTCACAACTTGTGAACTTGCGCAAAAGATTTACAGGTTTATCAGATCTCTCCATTGGCAATCTATGGAGTGTTGGAGTAAGCTTCATTGAGGGAGGAGTAGGACAGGAAGAGGTGGAGAAGTTGTTGAGGGAAAGTGTGAGGGGAGTGAATGAGGAGGGAGTGAGGAATGGGGCTGAGAGAACGTTTGCAGGTAAGAATGAAGGGAAGGGAGAGGGGGATTGGAAGGGAAGAATGAAGGAGAGGCCATGGATATTTAGTAGTTGGTGTCGGATGGGCTTTTATAAGACTGATTTTGGGTGGGGAGAACCAGAGTGGATTGGGTCTGGGTTTCGGGGCATGAAGGATGCGTGTTTGTTGATTGATGGGAAGGATGGAGAAGGGATTGAGCTGTGGTTGGGGATGGAGAGAGAGGAGATGCAGAGATTGGAGAACGATGAGGAGTTCCTCTCCTTTGCTTGTGCTTAGAATACAAGAGAAAATTCATGCAAATGAACATTATCATTATAAATATGTGTGTAATAATTATATATTCAACTCCCTTTAGTGGTGGTAGAATGAGTATATATATATATATATATATATATATATATATTAATTCTATCAATGTTTAGTCTATCTTTATCAATAAATCATAAGGTTATGAACTTCGAATTCTTGGACCTTTTAGTTTACTTCTAACTTATGAATATATCTTATATTTCTATTGATAGTTACAATACTTCGCCCTACATATCTGTTTTTTAAAGATTCAATGCAATTCACAACTTGTTCAAATGGTAGATACTCTATTTGAAGGAAAGAGGCAAAATAAAAATGGTTACTTCGATTCAGGAATAAGTACAAAACACAACTATTGAATCAAGCAATATGTCGGTGAACAATGACACAACATTAAAAGCTAAATTAACTAACACTACAAGTCCAAATGAGTTTTCACTTGTCAATGTTCACACTACCTATTGGCTATTTCAATATCCATAAACCCTAAATAAAACTAATGAGATAGATATAGTCCTAAACCGCCTAATCACTCACTAATAACAAGAGTGTTTTTTTAAGGCATCCATCCACACCATATAAAATCTACTAATGTATCAAAACAACACAAACTACAAAATTTAGGCGCTATTTGGTTGTCGATTTTAAGCAGGGTTGGCATTAAGCAGAAATAAATCTTGCACATTACTAAATCCCGTTTTACCTTAGTTTTGATCAAAATAGCTGCAGTTCAACGGCTTTAAACTATTCAGACGAATAGAAAGAATAAGTGTGGATTCTAATGGCTACTTCCTCGCCTATGTTTCTTCAAGAGGCTGTTAGCCAGCATGATTTAGCTGTCAAACAGCAAGAATAGACAACTTCAAATCCTGCAGAATCCTAAACCCTGTTCCTCCTTCGTTTTGCCTAAAAATCCCGAATATGATAAATCAAATTGATATATAAATAAATAAAAAATTACCCATCTAACCTTAACATATTGCTTGTGGGCACTTTTGAAGGAACTATTTACTCACTTGATAACAAATCAATACTCTGATCTCATTGAAATCAACTCCCATTCTTATGATAAATTTTATAGACTTTAGATGATTGTAAATTTCAATATTTTGTAATATGAAATTTTTTAACAACATACAAAACCATAAGAAAGCTGTCAAAAGTACTTCATTAAAACTTATGATAAGGTCACAAATAGTGTCACAGATAGTACACGAGGGCAATACATATCTCTTAAGAAGTGCTATATAAAATTTAAATATTAAAATATCTAAATTAATTAATTTATCCATTATTTACTTTTATCATTTATGTATATATTTATTCTTTTTATTCATAATAAAATATTAAAACTGTTTCAATTTTTATTAAATTTAAATCAAAGTTTAGTACTACTACTACTACTACTAATAATAATAATAATAATAATAATAATAATAATAGTAGTAGTAGTAAATAATATTAAATAATTTAAATTGTTAAGTTATAATAAAATGTTAAAGTAAACTTTATAAACAGTTAGATTATGATCCATCCTGGGCATTGTCAGTTGGCAAGACTAGTTCAGTCAGCTGGGCATTGTCGATCGCGTGAGCTAGTCTGAGTGTCGAACCAAATCACTGGTGAGGAACTCATGCCAGCAAAGCGTTGTTGGACTATCAGGCAGAGGATAAGCCATTCTAACCAGATATGTAGCTCATTCCTCAACAAGGGGCTTGAGGATGAGTATAAGATGCTTTGCTGCGTTTTTAATTTGTCTCTACTGAGGGGAGTAGGGGGTGCTAGCGGGATGATTGGTGATATTGTTGAACTACACTTTCTTCAATCGGACCTACCGAAAGGTAGGGTATCCCCTTCGATTTACTTATAGTTGCTGACCAAGATGTCTCTTTATCTCGTTTCTAACTGAACGGCTCAAATTCAGACATTCAAACAATTTTCTAGAGTTGGTAGTCTTTGACTTTACTAGCTTTAGCTCAAATGATTACATCCAATTGGATAATTGGGCCTCCTAACCTTCCGTGGTTGGACCTTCCTTTGTTGTACTCTCTTCCTCTAGATTGCTAGATCTCCTTGAGACCAAAATATTTATATTTACTTGCATACTAACTCAAATATTTAATATCATATAAAATACCACCATATCTAAGTTATTAATTTAAAAAAAAAAAACATCTTAATTTATATAATAAAAAAGGATTATGAACATGATTAAAATAGGTATTTACGAAACTTTTAATTTTGAAAATTCAAATTTATAAAACAATTGATTATTTAAACATTTTAAAATAATTTCAGTTCTACGTAAATAATTTATTCTTTTTTTAAAATTGAATAAATTTTTTTTAGAACACATTAAATAAATAAATTATTTTAAATATAATTCATCATCTAATATAACTTCGCATTAATTTAAATTCAATAGTATCTAAATAACTTATTATGATATCATTAAATAAAATATTAAATATAAATTAAAATAAATATTTTATTATGACACCATTAAATAAAAGGGGAATTTACACACGTACGACGGAGAACTCTGATATTTACGTCACCACCACTTAAACTTTAATTATGGAGCTTAAAGTTCTACTTGCGTTCGTCATCTTTCTAACACTGAACCAGGAATGACGTCATCCTACCGCCGATTTTTATGAACACAATATTACATATCTTCCGAGTCCAATGAAATGATTGTCTGACAGAAAAATAAAAAAAAAATCATTTTAGCGCAGGTGAATATTCCCCTCATGTTATTCTGCATTATTCAGACGTTATTGTTGTGATATTCATGTGTTATTGTGTTCTGGGAACATTCCTGGTGTTATAATAACACAATAACACATCAATACCACCACAATAACACCTGAATAAAGCAAAATACAACAGGAAGAATATTCTCCTGTATTACCGGGCTGAATCACAGAAAAACACGTGTATTTCCTTGAAGCCTCGTATCCACATATCAGTTGACTCCGAACGCAGCTCTGCATTAGGAGTCCTCATGTAATATTTTTCCACACAATGAAGAGGCAGTTAGTGAGATTTAAGCCAACAACAGATGATAAAAGGTGAATTTTATCGCAGAAGATGATCAAGTCTGGTGTCAGGGAAAACATAGTATATACTTATGAGGGTGAATAAAATGATAACTTCACATATAAATAAAATTATGATAATGTAGTCAGTCCATCCTACTTTATAAATACATATAAATACATATATACAAAATATGTAATATTTTCTTCGCACGGAGTGATATTTTAATTACTTAAATAAAATTTAGGTGTTACATAGGTGAAAACGGAGTCTTTCCATGGGATGCATGTAAATCTACCATTTTATTTATATAACATAATAATTTTAATTTTTAATTATTATAATATAACTTAATACATCAAAATTAGTTACACAACCAAGTTATGATAATTAATTTTTTTTTAATTTTTTTAATATTAAATGTGCCCACGTGTATTCAACTCGAATTTAATATTAAAAGAATTATACAAAACGCAAGACACATGTTAGGTCCTTCTTAAGTATCATATAAAATCATGCTCTTTAAAAAGTTATGCATTCTACGTGCTGCCCTCAGGGACCATAAAACCACTTGGATCTTTCAACAACTGGAGCCCATCAAAGTCCATCATTTTAGGCATTCCTTTTTATCATTTATGT